AATTGTTTATTTTTAAATTAAATTCTATTTTTATGATTTCTAGCGTTTCAGTTTGGTTGTTTTTATTTTTAAATCAATTTACATGATCATGATGCCATTTCTAACAAGCACTTGTCATTGTTTTTATTTTGAAATTGTGTAATTTTAGTGATTTCATTTTTAATACGTGCTACATTGTCATTTTTTATTATTTAATTGTCAGTAAGCGTTTATTTTAATATTACAGTTTAATGTGTTATTTTCGTAGTTTATTGTCATTTTATATTTCTGATTTCATAAATGATCTCATGTTCAAAAGAACACCTTCGCTGGAGTGACGTCACTAACAAAGAACAACTTCGAACAGCGCGTCCGCTCGTCTGCTCTTTCCTGTACAGGAGGTCACGTGCTACTCAGCGGCGCTTCCGATTGGTCAGACGGGTTTGCGCTCGGCTTTAGCCTGCGCGCTAGCGGGTTTACGCACCGAGATATCAAGTTTATTACATCAACAACACATTTTCAGACCGCGACATAGCGATTATATAATAAATACTACATGCCATTTACGTATAATAAGTTTGAATGAAACAATACGCAAAACAGACAGCACTAGTAGCACATTTAGCCGTGCGCCCTACGGGATACACTCACTAGCGGTTCCTCCCGCGCTGACCGGAAGCGCTCAGAGAGTGGACGCGCTGGAACAGGAAGCAGTTCCTCGCGCCGCAAACAGACGTGGCAAAAGAACCGTTGGTTTGATCCGATCAACACGTCGGTTATTGATTATCAGTCATTTGTTTCGGCTCGAGACTATGGCCTCCGGTGCGAGCAAATGGGAAGTGGTGAAGAAAGGCAAGAAACCGAGCAGCAGCAGCTCCGGAGGAAGAACTCAGGAGAAGAAGTCCGGCCGGAAAGCGCTGAGTGAGGCCAACACTGACAGCAGCCGTAAGCCAAGCAGCTAAACACACGACATTAGCCAGAAATAACGTCCTAATAACAGCTGTCGGCATTAATAACGTTACCTCACTGTGCTACCGCCAAACCACGGAGTGCCCGTGTGTCTAAACCTGGTTTACTCGCTGTTTATCTTCAGAGGAACGCGTGTTATATATATATATCAACATTAAAAACATTTTTGTTATTTTAAATAAAAAAACACTATTCTCTTTCAAACTTTCACGTAGCATCTGTAGGTTATGATAACATTAAAAATTCAAATCCGAGATTTATTATAAAATTGTATTATTTTTTTCCCCCAAAATGCAATAAATCCATTGAATCAATATAGAAGTTATTTTTCATGTTGAAACTGCACGCCATGGTTACTCCACCTGTGACATCGACACCAAGCTCATGTGCAGGCACTGCACTACAAATGCATTCAATCAGTCATAGCTCCCAAAATAATTCAGCGGGTCATCTTGCTAATGCTATAAATTAATTGCAACAATAAAATAAAATTGAATCATGAACAACAATTAGACCACAGAAATTCCGAAATGGCCTTCCCCTCGCATTCGGCTTCCAGAAGTGCATCAGTCTTTGCCGTGTTACGTTCATTTAGCTGACTAGTGCTGTGCGCTGTAAAACATTAATGGCATAAATAAAAACACTGACAAGCTACGCAATATCACGTTCATAATCGAATACGCGCTAACCCTAGCGCGATGTTGCAGGGCTCTGCTCAGTGTAGTAAACGCCGCTCCATCTGAAAGCACGTGACGGAGTTTACTACTGATCACAGAACCGCTTTACTGACCAGATGCGCGGGACAGTCACACGCATTTACCTAAGTTTGATCACAAAGTAGATGAGGAGAACTAGGAAGCGGGGTGTATTCGGAGCTACAGTGCGTGGAGTGGTGCGCTGTGATTGGTTGAGCGGATATATAGCGCATTCTGCAGAGAAGGGGAAGAGAGAAAACATGACGGAATAACTCGGCGGATATCGCATTTTGGGCGAAATTAAAAATTACTTTTCCGTACCAACCAGATACAATTCTGATTTTGGCGGAAACTATTTTTTTTTCAAAATGACGTTTTATCGCGTTTTGGAACCAAAGTCTTCATATATTTGCGGTATAAGTACCAAAAACCATCTCGATATATTTTTACAGCTCCTCTCTCAGGAGCTCTGCTGAGAACAGGTCGATTTTGGCCTGTCTAATTAATATTCATGAGCCTCTCTCCTGATTGGCCTGTTGTTTTCTGAGTGACGCACGGACAGGCCAACCACAGGTAACGAGGGTCGTGTATGCTGTAGCCTGCTGTGGATTGGTGATCCTCACAAGTGAGGTCATTAGAAACACCGGTAATGATGGTCACTGCTCAGGGAAATGTTGTCCGGCCGAGCTCAGACCCCGAATCGGCGTCAAACACCGAATGCAGTAAATAAAATAAAAACCAGACCAGCCGAGCGTTTGCGATCACGTGAACTTGAAGACACTTGTACAAATGCTTTCACGTAGCATCTGTAGGTTATGATAACATTAAAAATTCAAATCCGAGATTTATTATAAAAT